CTTCAACATGTGGCAGGAGGAGCCAGGGATTGAACCACCAACCTTCTGATTAGTGGATGACCCACCTGACTCTGTCTCTGAGCCATAGCTGCCCCAGAGTAAATTTAGATTTCTAACTTGCCCTTGAAAGACTAAATACCCCTGTACGACTGCATAAAGGGGGTTAGGGTCACGCCGGTTGCCATGGAGATAAGGAGGGTAGCTGGAAGATAAATGATTATCTAAACATTGTTTTTACAGACCATGTATGATTGTATGACATAACCACAAATGGAGGGTGGCTCTGTGGATGTTTGGTGCAAACTGAACTTATAAAATAAAAAAATTTAACTCACAGGGTTTGTAATAAAAATAATATTTAGTAGAGTTTATGTAAGGACAGTTAAAAACATTACTATGTATATATTCAATGGTTTTACACTGAAGAATGTGTTAACACATTAGTTTGACAGCATACAAATGTGTTACTAAGTATATATTTACATAATATATTTATGTATTTTATATATATTTATATCAAATATATATATATGCAGTTGCCTAAAAAGAAATAAAAATGCTGAGTGAGGTCAGAATCTGTGTATGAAAGAGTTGTAAAATAATCAGTGAAACTGTAACACCAACAGTTGACCAGCAGATGTCTCCACATTTAAACACAACTTTAACTCAACACCAGCTTCAGAGAGCGTCTTCACTCCTCCTCTTCATCTTCACCAACATGTTATTTATTTATGGACATTCGTGGGCACACCGAATCCACTGCTGGCTTTTAGATATTCTATTTTTTACATAACATTTTAACATTTGAAGTTTGTGTGTCTGTACTCTTTGTAAACCGTCTGGTTGTGTCATGTGTTTGCACTAATAAAGTTCCTTAGAATTGGAATCATGTCTGTCAAACCTGAACCAAGTCATTTTGAATCAAGATTTTTACAGTGCAGATTGTTTTCACTCCTAAACAGGTCAAAGTTCACACACACACACACATTCCTGCAGCAGGTTGAACCAGTGACGTTTCACTTACTTCACTGTAAAAACACTCACAGTTGAAACAGCTGATCAGTATCCTGACAGCTGATTGGTTGAGGTGAACACACCTGAACCAGGTGCAGTTTAACCCTTTAATGCAGAGCTGTGAGTCCACTTTAGCACCCCGACAGGTCCTCACAAAGACAGACAAACAACAACACACACACCTGGAGAGAGACTAAATCTGGCACTTCAGTTTTTATGAGTGCAGGTAGTGCTGCAGCAGGACGATAACGTGGACCAGAACAGACGGCGACAGGTGAGCAGATCGACAGGTAGACTTATAGACAAGTTAACTGACAGACAGGTGAGCAGATCGACAGGTGTTGGTTTCAGGAGTTCACATCAAGGTAAGACAATGAGTTTTAAAGTTTTAGGATTATTGGTGAAAGTACTTTTATGTTATTCTTATACTCCATTACTTTTGAGAGGGAACCGCATTGATCAGTCTGATTACAGTTACAGTAATACAGAATATAAATACATGATAAATTATATTATTATGATATTATTATTATTATTAGAGATAAAGTCATTAAAGGTTTAAGTCAAACTTCTGAAACTTCTTGCTCTCTGATTTATGAATAATTAACAGTTTTACTGATAATAATAATAATTATTAATAGAACTAAAACACCTTCCAGGTGAACTGCAACAACTGTCTGATGACATCATCATGGGGACAACTGTCGTGTGTCAACTCATGACTCATACATGTGATGTCATCACCAGATTGAAAACATTACTACAAAATAATCAGTATCTGTAGAGATCAATACCTGCAGCTATCCCGTTTACTTACTGGAAATAAAGTGATCAATAATCAAAATCAAATGATTCTGAATCCAATAATATTAATAATAGTTGTGAGTTGGTTCATCAGTCGAGTCGTTGCATTAGCTCTGTAGGTAGAAGCTGATAACACTGTCTGTCTTCCACTGCAGTTACAGAACTGTTTTATTTGTGTGGCTCCAAATCATAAAAGTTACCTCAGGACTCTTTTCACATAGAGCAGTCTATACCGTTCTCCTTCCACTACACTACAGTCCCTTCATGTGTCAAATTCAATAAAGGTTCTTATTGTCCTTTCTTATATTTTCTTATTGTTCACTAAACTTTAAGAGGCCGCTTCATCATAGAGGATTATCCTTTATTGGTTTATAGATTCAGAATAACAACACAGATGAGTCAGATAGTAGAGTATCATCATTTATTGTCCACAGTGACACCAACAAAGTCCACAAGAAAAACTTCAGCTGATCTGTGAGACTCCAAATAAAGTTCATCAGTCTGAAACCAGTTTGGACTATACCCGTAGATACCGATTCCACATCAAATGTCACACTACACTACTTGGGGTGGCCAACCAGTCAGAGACTAAGAGCCAAATTTTTTACTGTGTTACTGCAAAGAGCCACATCATACACA